ATGTGAACTCGTTTCGTTGCTTTGTTTAAAAGCGTTACGTTGAAAGGATTGCGGGAACAGGTGTGGTGGAAGTCACTTGGAAATAAGGTTAAGGGCTTAAAAACTAAGTCAAAATAAAAATCATCACGACTTCTTTATTTTCATACAGCAATATCGCCAATAACAAGCTAATGCAGTACTCGTAATATTGTAATTAGATATTACATCCAAGTCATCAATAAACTGAGGTTAACGTCTACTAGTCGTCTATGTATAGTCCAATAGCTGGAAAAATTTAAATAGATACCTTAAATGAAATCAGTTACCTATGTTAAGATTAGGTAACCAAAAATTCTCGCTTAAGTAGGACATAGAAATTTATTTTTCAATGTTAGCTAGTTTTCGTTCTTTGCAAGTATGACAAAGTCTTATACGCCTGTATTAAAAAACGATGCTTTCTTAAGTGAAGTAGCAAATCGACTGCACAGCGTTGAATAGAGCTTTGTGGTTTGTTCGTGTGTCACCCTGTGCGCCCACGCGCACTGTGAGATCTCATAGTAATGTTTGTGAATACTTACGGGCGTTAGAGACATAGCGTCTACATTATCTTTATTCCTTTGAAAAAAGCCGGATGGCCATTAAAAAATCATACGCAAAAATCTGTTCTCATCAAACGGAGCGTACCTATTACCCCAAACAAAATGTTTTGATCCAACGGGGAAGATGGTCCCATCTCCCCTGATAGTTATTTGATATGATTTATTCATACAAGCGCTACACCACGTCAAATGGAAGTTTATTTAATAGAAAATACTTTCAGAAATCTATTTATAAAGCCATTATGGTGCTTTTTAGGGTTCCGTACCCAAAGGGTTAGAACGAAACCCTAACAAGTACTAAGACTTCGCTGTAGCTGTCTGTTGTATTCTCAGATCATAGTTTGTATCTGAAATGTTCACAGATGATGTATTTCTGTTGCTGCTGTAACAAAAATAAGTAAAAATAGAATAAAATTAATATTTTAGGAGCATAAGTACAACAAGCTCGATATTAATTACGGCAACAGGTAGACGATTAAAATATTTATTTAATTGTACATTATATCCACTTGAAAAATGCATAATCAACTTAAAATAAATTGAATATTTCATTGGGGCTCCCACGCGACAACAAAAGCGTTGTACGGAACCCTTCTTGCCCGAGTCCGACTCGCACTTGGCCGTTGTTTAAACATGTTTCTCGCGATTGGTATGCAAATAAGGGCCGCGGTGCAGCGGTGCTCACCCGACTAAACATCGTGTTTACTGAACTTTTATTGGATGATTAACTTCGCGTGTTTTACTTTTAAGAAGGTTTGTTGAAGTGCGTTCAAGTTTTTATTGTGCAAGAGATTCTGCAGGTAATCAACCTGCATGGTGATTGGTGTCATCGGTAAAATGATATTTTTGATTTTCTTTATTTTTTTAGTTACCTAGACCTACTGGCATAATGCCAGCTGCAATTTTAACGTCATTGTATTGATTATACTGGCTTTATCATAAGTTAATGCACCTAATAAAAATGCTTAACATTATCTTATCGATAATCAGGTGATTTGATAACATCATCATGACTGGTTAGGTGATATGACTTTACGATTTACTTTCAATTGATTTACCGTGAAATAAAAATAAAACAACAGACTTTGATCAAGTAGGTAATTATGAATGCTAATTAACTACGAGTATTTCATTTGATTAAGCATGACATAATCACAATAGTTACTTAGACCTTTCTAACTAATTTCTAGATACAATAAAATTGTGTTAAAAACGTACGAGTGCTATTATTATATGGTACTAACATCTAGAAACGCACACGCCGTGCAAACAGTGTGCGATTGCCGGGGATTGAGGGCACATAAAAACCATTTTTTTTCAGGCGCGCCGTTGATGCGTTTCATGCAATAGGAACGCGCTTGTACGCGATGTTATCGCAATCAATGTAATGTACCTACAATCAATAACATGCCAGACTTTACATTTATATTACAAAATCGCACTTCATACGTGTCACTTCACTACTCCTGTGTCTTTAACTAGATGTGCTGTCCTATAAATACCTATGGAAAAACGCTATCAAATGAAAGGTGTGTTGGTGCCCCCTAAAAAAAACCTAGTGTGTGCGTAGACCTTTAACTAATATACAGGGTGTCCCGTAATGTAACGTCAAGCCGAAACTGGGTGTTGAGGCAAATTGTGCTGGTTATCAGAAAAATATAAAAAAAAATCTATGTGGCATATTTAAAAAATAATAGTCATTTAAAAAAAATCAAAAAATTCTACTCCAGGTGACGGTCCTTTTGCTCGTGTTGCCACAAATCTTCACTTTTTCCAAATTTTTTTTTTGTTATGTAACCCTGAATAATGCTTCTCTAAATTGTTATCAAAATTACAAAACCAGCTGCTCCAGCTTGGATGAAAAAAATACATTATTCCCAAAAAAATTTTCAAAATAAAAATTTTGCCTAGTTTAAACTGACTGTACTGAAAAAAAAAAGGACTAAATTTTGACAGCAATAAATCAACAGTTTTTATTCATATAAGAAAACTACTAACAATAATGCAGGTCGGAAAAAATGTGTTTAGAAATAAGTAGGCTGCTTCCCTCGAAATACTCATAACAAACCTATGGTATCCCCTGGTTTTTTGCGCGCTTTTAAACTAAATATGGATATCGGTAAAGACACACAGTGACAGCATGAGTAATATTCTGTCAATATGTACCTAAGTACACCCAGGTGACAGGCAATAAGGCGCGCCTGGCCGCTTCCTGACGCCGGCGAATCGGCGCTAAACGCTGCATAAAGCTATTTGCCATGAATGCCCTGGTTCATAGTCTATTATTAATTCAAATAGCAAGATGCTGCGTGACCCACATAGCTACTTTATGTACCAACTAAGACGACACCTATGTATGATAAAGGTAAAACAGGCTGGCATATTAGATGGTGCCAGCGAATGCCAGACAAGTTGGTAACTAATATTAAGATTTAAGGTACAATTCCAATACGGGCCGCAGACCGCAAACTGCAAAACTATGAAATCGGCAGCGCGGCATTGCAGCTGCGGCGTGTATACTGCAGATTTCATAGAGTTTTGCAGTTTGGCCTTTATCCGAAACTATCCGTAACTTTTGAATCAGTTTCGGTTACGGTTATGGACATTTTTTTTTTTTTTTGGAAAAAGTGAAGATTTGTGGCAACACGAGTAAAAGGACCGTCACCTGGAGTAGAATTTTTTGATTTTTTTAAAATTCCAATTATTTTTAAAATATGCCACATAGATTTTTTTTTTTTATTTTTCTGATAACCAGCACAACTTGCCTCAACTCCCAGTTCCGGCTTGACGTTACATTACGGGACACCCTGTATATAACTTTATAAAAAATCTAAATAAATGCGAGCAATACCCAGAGCACAGAAAAACTAATATTCAGTAAATTACTTACAGTTACTTGATGCTGGACTACTATCTTTCCAATATGGAAATCCCCTTTCATCCTCTATCCACTTCCTATACATTAGTGGTACATTTAAGCTTATGAGGTCAGCCATTAAAAGGACAAAAGGACATCTCTCGTTTGATAAAATATTCACAGCACCTACGCCCCGCGTACAGTCAACCACAAATCCGTTTTTGTTAATCACTCCTATGTCAAGGAGGTTAAGATTTATAATGGTAGAGCTTTTTCAGTGAGTACTGTACTGGTTTGCCGCCCCGCCCATCCCAGCTTAGTTAGGCTTATGTACTTATGAACGGGAGAATGTATGTAAAGCCACATCCGAACTAATGTGTACATAAGTGGTTATTAATAAGTTTGTCAGCTCAGGATCCTCCGTACGCCGTTGCCTCTGAATAAATAATGCGAGTTGCTTGGTATGCTCCTGAATTCCTAGTTATTTCAATACTGAGAGACTTTGCCAAATTATGCGTCTACTTACTCATTGTCACGCTTGCAACTTAAGGTATGGTACGTGACAGATTAAGAATCAATATCTTCTTTATTTATTGCAAAACTTATTTCAATATTTTGATAGCATCAAACCGCAACAAGCTTAAAAAGGAAATTTATACATTTATATCCTCATTATTGTAGAGTTATAGTGCCATAAATCTTAAAAAAAACCTTTCAGTGAGATTACACAGACATGTCGTAGTCATCTATATTTGTACTGTAGGGTAAGCAAGACACTTTTTAATTACCATTTCAAATAGTATCTTTGTCCCTTATAAATCCAACGTCATTTTTTCTCCTAAAAAGATATGGCCGCCATTAAAAACTCTTTAATGTTCACAAACCATTATCTGCGTAGCAAAGCCACGTTAAATACATAACGTCAGTGGCTACGGCGGCAACAAAGAGCGGCACCATTTAGCAGCGCCGGCAATCCGCTTACGGAGGCATTAGCCGTCAAATATGCATGCAGCACTCGGCCCGCACACGCGGTCCTCCCGTAATGCCGAGCTTAAATAAGCATTCTGAAATCTACGTACATAAATCGTAGCGCTACGGCTACTACGACGACTGAGAGTGCTACGAAAAGAAATTTTTTACGTGTAAAATTAAGGCGATTACATGGCCGAACGACCTTGAGCATTAGAGCGAGACAACGCGTCNTGCTACTTGGGCCAAGTGCGTGCTTGAAGTTATAAGTCAGAACCGACCCCTCGCTCATTCTCGTAAGCCCAAAACAGCTGACGTACGCTGTTTTTTTTTGTGTTTTGACCAATTGTATCGCAGAATCGATGAAGCGCGTCTGGATTGGAGACGTTAAAAATGACCGTAATCAGGGCTCTGACCGGTCACAATAATTAAAATGCATCATTTCAATTTCTGCCCGGCCGAGAATCGAACCCGGGACCTCTCGGCATAGTAGTCCGTTCTGAACCACTACACCAAACGGCAGACGAATACAATAAACACATTTTATTTATTTTTTATTTTTTTCATAAAAACATTTACTTAACTGATGATACAATAATGATGTGTCCACGTGGGAATGTGTCTGATTGAAAATGTGTCCCGTTGAAATTGTGTCTCGTTGGAACCAAATCAGAGATCATATGATCTGAGCCTGTAATAATGTAAATTAATATTCTTTCCCGTGCGATTTAAGTATAGACTAAGTCTGGCGTCCGTATTAGCGCGAATCAAGAAGGTTGCCATTCTAGGAAGTGTACATCGACCCTGATGACGACGTAATGAAGATGTCGACCAAGTGCTTCAACGCGATCCGCGCGTGCGCCTCGGGTCTGCAGCACACGCGTCACGGGTACCACGTGGTGGGCGCGCCCGGCGTGTATCGCGTGGTGCTGGTCGGGCCGCGCGGCTCGGGCGCGCGCACTCAGGGGCTCCAAGTGGCCAAGCACTTCGGACTCATATACAGTAAGACCTATTTCAAATTGGAGTCTGTGGAGGCCAGGTTGCGTTCACAGTAACTTACTCCTGTGAACCGCGCGAGCCCGGGTGGATGGCGCGAGCGTTTCTAAAATTGGCTCACATCTCTGATAGGTTACTGCGTGTTTCCAAGTCATTTTGTCGCTGTACCTACCAAAACATCCATCTCCACTCTGATACAATACAAGGCATGTTGCAAGGTTGCAACAGTCATTTTCAAAATGCTGCTTCGGCGCTTCGCCTCATCTCTATAAAGGTGCGTATGATGAATATTGTGCGAAACCTATGGGCTATTCAGACTTTATGGAAATGGAGAGAGTGGTTGATGATGCACCGTTCATCTTAGGGATGCGATGAGTCGTATGAACTCGCGTGGAATTTTCTTCTTCGATTAATTTATAGCGAACACTCGGTTTGAAACTCTGTTTCAGTGAATTTCGCCGATCTCTACAAAGAAGCTTTAGAGAAGGATGACGAAGTGGGCGATAAGCTTCGGAAATTTGGACCCAGCTCCCAGCTCAGGGCCGAAATACTGCGGCGCCGCATCCTGAAGAAGGTCTGTTATTATGACAGACAGAGCTTCCAAGTCTTTTTCGTTTACTTGCATCTATCGCACCAAGACCTAAATAAAGTAACTATTGCACTATTTTTATTTCGTAGGATTGCGTTGACCTTGGCTGGGTGCTCAGCGGATTCCCGGCCAACGGATTGGACTTTGAAAACCTGGATAACATGTCCACTCCACCTAATCGGTACTGTCAGAAGCCTAACTCTTTTTGATAGCGAACTATAGGGATAGACACAAGACCAGACTGTTTCATCTAGAGCTTGACGTTATAGGTATAAATAAGATTAGAAATCTTGCACCCAATTACAGCTTCAAGCCGAACAACGAGCGTATGAAACTACTTTCAAAGTGAAAGCCCAATTTATTGTTAAAGACCTGTACCTAATGGAAATCGCGACTGTCGCGACGGTGTCGTGGAATATTGTTCTATTTTGTCTTATTGAGATTGACTGTGCCTTTCCAATAAGAAAATTTCACAGATTTCGTTGCCTAGGTTATACAATCTTCGTGCAATCTTGAAGCGAAAATACGATAACAAATAAGAACAATTTCCTACTCTCACTTTACAGAATTATATTCCTGAACGCGGACTGGCAGACATGTAAGAAACGGCTCATGTCCCAGGCCATTGACTGGTGTACCGGGCGTCCCGCAGTTCCTGGATCGGGGCCTCGTGTGCTGCCCCATCCGACGGACACTGAAGCCCACATAGACTATGATGTAGGTATACATCAACACCCCTTTATCTCCCCGAGATTATCCCGCCGGCACAACTAAGTTTTTTACGACGACTCGCATCGGTTTTTTGCGAAATTAATTGCTGTATTGCACCTGTGCGCACCCGACTTCTCTCCCCAAACCTAAAGCCGAAAACGGCATTAGGTACTGCAAAAAGCACTTTCTTACGACTTTGAAGCCAGTACCTACAGCAGATCAATTACCATAATACAAATGAATCAACGAGACGGTGCCGGAAAGCGGTCCAAACATGCTACCTTGCATGGCCCTTTCACTTTCATACACGTGGTGACTGAAAAAACGAATGTTACCTAGTGCCCCTCTCACATAGCGGTAACATGTTACTGATTAGCGCCCGTTGCGAATTATTTGTTACGGTTATTTTTTGTTACCTATTATATTACTGTTACCGGGTAACCATTAGATAGAGGTGCCACACCTAGATGCTAATGGAACACAAATATTTGGTACTGACCGCTTTATTCTTGACCGTTACGCTGTTTACAGTTAGACTACTACTTCACGGAGGCGTTGGCGGAGCTTCGCGCGGCGGCCGGCATCACCGCGGTGGAAATTGACGCCAATCAGCCTTTCGGTAACGTTATCACACATGTCATTATGCAGCAATTATCCGCAGAACATTCTCGAATTGTACATGTTGTCGTGGTTACCAGGCGGTAAGAACGTAACAGAAAAAGATAAATGGATGAGTCATAATAAAAATAACAGTAGCTTCCATTCTGCTAGCTTCCATGGTGATAAGGTGCAACGGATCCTCCTGAGGTGTAAGAGGGTTCCTTGCCTTGTGCTATCATCTGGATCATAATTAATGAGAGATAGACGTGCAATAACTTGGTTCAAGTTATCGTATTGCATACGTGATGTAACTTTTATCACTTCATTGGAATTATCGTTGTCTAATTGTTACGTAAGTGTATTCTGAGGATTCGATTACTTTTCAGATACTGTGCATGTAAAAATTCTAGCCGCAGTCATGGCGTCACCGGCTTTCGACATAGAAAACGGCTCTCAGCTGAGAAATGTCCGCGGTGACTAATCTTCTGAGCTTGAAATGGAATTGGCAATTTTATAGCGCAATAATATAAAAACGATTGAAGATCGAATCTTTTTGTTCGAATACTTGCCAGTTTTCATATGCGTAAACTAGTATTGATGTATTTACATAATTTTGAATAGTCTTGTTGTTTCATGATTACCTACTAACAGGGTTGACAAATAAAAAGAAAATTAATTATAAAATTGTTTTTTTATTTATGTACTCCTTCGTACTTCCATTGAAATTATTAAATAACTACATAATAATTATTAATTAGTTTGCTAATTAAAAACTAACTTCTGCAGTCTCATAACATACATACATACAATAAAGAACACTGAGGTAGCCTCCAGAGTGAATTGAGACTATATCGATTCATGTCTCTAAATCAAACCAGTGACAAGGAAGACAAAAAATCGATTTGCAAACAGTCATGGAAACAGGCCCTCGCAATTCACACGCGAAACTATTGCTTCAACTAAAATTAAAAAATGCATTAATTTATACAAATAGTAACGTTCTCACAAACACGCCAGTGCGCAGCGGCCGCCGCTCAGATCCGGGTCGCCGCACACCCCTCGCTCGCACACAATAAATATACACAACTCGAGCTAAAACACTCCGTATTCACGCTCGGTTACAGGCCATGCACACAGCGAGCTCTCGCTCTGTGCGTGGTCTGTAGTGACCTAGGAGATCACATTTTGCTTCAATCACGCGATTTTTACAGTCTCAGTTATAGTTTGGTTACAATTACAGCTCATCTTTGAAGTCCGAATCGTCATCTCCCGCGCCCGGGGGTGGCACGCCGCCTTGGCCTTGGTACAGTTTGGCAATGATGGGCTGAACGACGTCTTCCACCGCCTTCTTTTGTTTCTTGTAATCTTCCGCCTCGGCGTCTTGGTTGTCTTCCAACCATTTGATGGCGGCGTCGATGGCCTCCTCCATCTTGGTCTTGTCGTCGTCACTGACCTTAGCACCCAGCTTCTCCTTATCTTGAAGCTGGTTCTTGATGGAATAAGCATAGCTCTCAAGTTCGTTTCTGGACTCGACGCGCTCCTTTAGTTTCTTGTCGTCGTTGGCGAACTTCTCAGCATCCTTGATCATCCTTTCGATGTCTTCGGGGGTTAATCTGTTTTGGTCATTGGTGATGACAATCTTTTCCCTGTTTCCTGTGCCCTTGTCCTCAGCAGATACCTGGAGAATACCGTTGGCGTCGATTTCGAAGGTGACTTCGATTTGAGGAATGCCTCGCGGCGCTGGCGGGATGCCAGTCAGATCGAATTTGCCCAACAAGTGGTTGTCCTTGGTCATGGGACGTTCACCTTCATAGACTTGGATGGTGACGGTGTGCTGGTTGTCGCTGGCGGTAGAGAAGATCTGAGACTTCTTGGTGGGAATGACGGTGTTACGGGGGATGAGCTTGGTCATGACGCCTCCGACAGTTTCGATACCCATGGTAAGAGGGTTGACGTCGAGAAGTACAATGGCGTCAGTGTCCTGTTCACCGCTGAGCACTCCAGCCTGCACGGCGGCACCGTAGGCGACGGCCTCGTCGGGGTTGATGCCTCGGGATGGCTCCTTTCCGTTGAAGAATTCCTTGACCAGCTGCTGAACCTTGGGGATACGGGTCGAACCACCGACGAGTACGATTTCGTCGACGTCTTTCTTGTTCATGTCGGCGTCCTCGAGTACCTTCTGCACGGGCTTGAGGGTAGATCTGAAGAGGTCCATGTTCAATTCTTCGAACTTAGCCCTGGTGAGGGTCTCGGAGAAATCTTCACCTTCGAAGAAGGATTCAATTTCGATCTTAACCTGGTGGCTGGAAGACAGAGCCCTCTTAGCCTTCTCGACCTCACGACGCAGTTTCTGGACGGCGCGGTTGTCTTTCCTGATGTCCTTGCCCTTCTTCTTTTTGTACAGCTTGATGAAGTGCTCCATGACTCTCTGGTCGAAGTCCTCACCTCCCAAGTGGGTGTCACCATTGGTAGCCACTACTTCGAAGACACCGTTGTCGATTGTGAGCAGAGACACGTCGAAAGTACCACCACCCAAGTCAAAGACGAGCACGTTCTTCTCTCCCTCTTTCTTGTCCAGACCGTACGCGATAGCGGCGGCGGTGGGCTCGTTGATGATTCTCATGACGTTGAGACCGGCGATGACACCAGCGTCCTTGGTGGCTTGACGCTGAGCGTCGTTGAAGTAAGCCGGGACGGTGACGACGGCGTGAGTGACCTTCTTACCCAAGTAAGCTTCGGCGGTTTCCTTCATTTTAGTCAACACCATGGCGGAAATTTCCTCAGGAGCAAAGATCTTGTCACCCTGAGCTGTCATGACTGAGACATGAGGTTTGCTGTTTTTCTCAACAACTTTGAAGGGGAAGAATTTCACATCATGTTGGACAGTGGAGTCGGTCCATTCGCGCCCAATAAGACGCTTGGCGTCGAAGACGGTGTTCTCAGGGTTTGTAGTAAGCTGGTTCTTGGCAGCATCACCGATGAGACGCTCACCATCAGCAGTAAAGGCTACGTATGAGGGAGTGATACGGTTACCCTGGTCGTTGGCAATGATTTCAACACGTCCATTCTTGTATACACCCACACTGTGAACAAGTAAAAAAATAAAAGTTAGCATACTTATTGGACTTGAAACATTTCCGAGGTCAATAACCTTCTGTAGATTAACTAAGTACCTATACTGCACAGTAATTAAAAGCAATCTCTTTCAAAAACAAATTAGGTATATTTTTTTACTTTATAAAATTAAAGAATAGACAATTTGGAAATTGTTATAAGAAATTAACAATGGACTTGATTGAAAGTAGTTGTGGCAACAAAGTAGAAGTAAAAAGTCCTGTTTTTTGTATGAAATATCATCAAGTTGATTAAGTTTGAGCTTCTACACTTAGGAAATGATAAAATTAAAATAATAATCTTAGATAATAAGTTAGATTTAAACAATTATAGCACTTAGCAACTCACAAAGATCTGTGACCAATATGGCAAAGTTCTGGGAATAAAATATCCAATAAATGACTGACTTACCAGGAGTAGGTGGTTCCCAAGTCGATACCGATGACGGTGCCGATGTCCTTGTCCTTCTCTTTCTTGTCGTCGGCGACCACGGCCGCGACCACGCACGCGAGCGCTAGTAAGCTCCACCGCATCTTGCTGCTATTATTGATCCCTGCAAATATTATATTCCAATAAGAAACTGACAAAAACTAACTACATCGACGCCTAAAAACTAGTGCCCGGCTTGCAGAAGTCAAGTACAATCAGACACGTAGCCGTAAAATGGGACACGTCACATGCCGCCGGTCACACAAACTGTGACCCGTTGAATAATTGAAAGGGAAGGTTTCATTGCAAGCCCACTGTAACGGCACAAAGGAATCTAACGGTGCTTTCTCAAGCAAACTGAAATTAGGGCACTGAACCGGCCCACCATGAATCGAGAAAATTCGTCACATAAAACTTAGGACTTCTACAAGAAAATCATAGTTTACCTAAATCGAGAGCAAGTAAATATGCCATATGGTGTTTTATTTTATTAAAACTGTAGGAATTTCAATTGAAATCTGACAATAGGTAGGAAAATTCATGTGAAAGATGCGGTCTCACGGCTGGGAGGACTATTATTAGAATCAATTATTCCAATAAGTAAAATTTAATTACCAATGAATGAAAACGATGAATGAAGGCTTCTTATTCCGAAAATGTTGTCCACGGCCACGTTAACAGCACTGATTGTAGAACACTTGCACAAATTCACAAATACGCTGATCTATCACATTCGATTTTTCGTGGAGAACTGAAGTTTCGCACGCCGCCACTCCTATTATCTAGCGCTAGTGTTGATCGTGGTCGAATGCCATTGGCTGAGTTTTTGATGACGTATTCAGTAACCGACGCTGATTGGTACAAGTATGACGATTTGGCGCAAGCCGATTGGCCCACGTTCATAACTGGCACAAAACGGGACGTGTCAAATTGCGCTAAATTCAAAAAGTTGCAAAATGGTATGATTTCAATCGATAATAAAAATTTCAGTAACATAATATTTCACAATTTGTTAATTAATATCATAAAATTGAAAATTCTTGCATGATTAATAGTTTGATAAGTACGATGCTAAAGAAATTCTTATCTGTTCTGGTACACACAATATTTCCTTCTCGCCCTTCTAGAGTTTACTGGATTGGCAGCTGTCCTAGGTTCGATTCGGATGCAATCAATATCCATCCATCCATAACGTGATCCATGATCATCACAATTAGTATTTATACGAACGGCCATAATTCATAGTTAATCACGTAGGTATATTATATTTTTATGGAATGAAATAATACAAATAACCCTATGTTATTACCCGTCGTAATAACGTACGTATAACATCGTGTTTATAGACTCAACGGGACTAAGCAGTGAACTCTAAAGACAAGGGCTGCCACAATAGATCAAACCTGGTCGAGTTGGCGCAAATAAAGGCCCATAAACCAATAATAATAATACCCGTCGTAATCAATCTGTAAAAATGTTAGGTATGATGCTAAGGCATTAATTGCCAGTAAGATAACAGAAATACCAATGCTGTTAAAAGTTTACTGATCATATTATATCCACAGAGCACGTAATATAGTCATTTATCAGCAATCGAAAATTCAGGGAGCTTCTAGAAAATTCTATAATGTTCTGCATTTATAAAATTTCTTGATAACTCTATAGGTAATAATGATTAAATAAAAGCCAGTTATTAATTCATAAAAATTTATTATAAAATACCAACAACAGTAACTGTACTTACTAATAATAAGGAACCCAAAATTATTGAGCAAAATCATAAAAAGGATTTTCCTAGCACCATTTATTTAACTTATTTTCTTTATAATTATAAGGTTTTTATTATGCTGATAATATATTAGAATACAATACTATGGCAACAATTAGATTTCGAGAATTTCATACATTATTTTATTTACAAATGAATATAATTATGATCAAATTGATAAGTATTTTTTCGCCTAAGGCCATAGGAACATAGTACATACTTTATGAATATTTATTTATGAAACGAAATATGTAAAAGCATACTACCTTAGTGAATTTAAAAAACAATAAATTAACACAGTGTAACAGGTGTCGAATATTATTCTAAATAACTGTTTCTTCACAACGAAAAGTCAAAGACATTTTGTAAAATTATAATTTTGATGTTGTTCTGTTGAAATAGTCTCGTTAAACATCTTAATAACACTTGAAGTATGAATGAACAGATAAAAAAATTAATATAGGCTTTTGCTTACACTAAATAGGTACTTAGCTAACAAAAGAGCTTATAACTATTTTAATTTTTGTTGGAAATAATATTCAATATTTGAGGCGCGAAGTAGGTGATGATGCAATCAGCTCCTGAAAGTAAGACATACATTTTATTAGGTAGGAAACAACAAATAACAAACAAAAAGAAATGTCGTTCAGATAATAACTAATAGATTTTTATGACGTGTTGGATAAACAACAATTTTTATTTTTCATTTATATTATTGTCTAGCTAGTAGTCATCTCGATTGATATTACTCATCGCAATTAAATGCAAAGTCATGATATCAAAGTTTCTATCACATTTTTTACCTTATTAGCTTGTCTTTGGGAGAAGCCACACGATGCGGCGCACGGTGGGCCAGAAATCGACCTCCCCTTTCATAGGATTTTTAAAAAAAAAATTTTACTTTTTGGCACTTTAAAGTATGCAGGTGTTTTGAACACATTATAACATTAAATTAAATAGTATTCTCGGGCCTCGTCTCGTCTTGTACACCACGTAATGTGTCATTTTGTGTTTCAAATGTATGAAAATGAAAACTAATTACCTCATAACTTTTTCCGGTCTTGCTCGGTCAGGCTGAAACTTTCAGGTATTGTTACCGAGTCTGTAAGGAAGCTGCACGATCTTTTACTTTGATAAAAAAACCATTCAAGATAAATTTCGAGCTGAAATGGGATTGCTCGTGGACGTGGTTAAACAAGGTGCAGGGAATTCCAATGACGGGAACACTGCGAGAAGGTTTTTTGCAAATCCTGGGGCAACTGCACAAATTACGGGAGTGGATGAGGAACTTATAAAGAGATTTGGTGTGATTCTTCAAGTAATATCTTGTGGAGAGTATGTTGATGTGGAAAAGTTCCGTGAATATTGTGCTACAACAGCTCGAAGATATGTCGAGCTCTATGCTTGGTATTATATGCCGGCAAGCGTGCATAAATTACTCCTGCATGGTGCTGAAATAATTGAGCACAACAATTTTATTCCAATCGGCAAACTCTCTGAAGAGGCATCTGAAGCACGGAACAAAGATTTTAAGAAATTCAGAACCTTCCACTCTCGTAAGACCAGTAGGATTGCTACAAATGAGGATATCATCCATAATTTATTAATATCTTCTGACCCATACCTGTCTAGTTTTAGACCTAAGATGAGTCAGATTCGTAATAAACCTCTTTCAGATGAAGCCAAATTGTTATTAAATCATAGTGTAACTAAGGCAAATATTGAATTTGTAGATATAGGAAACCTGTCTGACTGTGACACTGATTAATTTATTGTTTTTTCGATTTTTCATTATGTTATTTGTGAAACTTGATATCTTTTTAATTACAGCAATTTTCAAGTGTACTCTATTTTTTTCTTATCGATAGATGATTTTCCTTAAAATTAAAATACAAACACAAGGTACAAACACACGTACATAAATATAAACACACACACAATATTTAAGTTTTTAAAACATTCACATCCAAATATGGATGTTAAGTTTTGATTCATAACTTCTGATCGGGACCGTTCGGGATCGAGGTAAAATATCACATAGCTTTGTTAAGGACTCGGTAACAATACCTGAAAGTTTCAGCCTGACCGAGCAAGACCGGAAAAAGTTATAAGGTAATTAGTTTTCATTTTCATACATTTGAAACACAAAATGACACATTACGTGGTGTACAAGACGAGACGAGGCCCGTGAATACTATTTAATTTAATGTTATAATGTATTCAAAACACCTGCATACTTTAAAGTGCTAAAAACTAAATTTTTTTAAAAAAAAATCCTATGAAAGGGGAGGTCGATTTCTGGCCCACCGTGCGGCGCCGGGACGCACCGTCTGGCATATAATTGATTTTTATATGCAGGACGCCGCAGCGGCACTCCCAAAGAGAAGCTAATAAAAAAAACGACGCTGAAAAAGTATAAAACAAGATTTTCAGAATACTGAACTGAACAAAGTTGCTAATGTAGTTGCATAGTAATTTTCATGTTTGTTCAGTTCAGTATTCTGAAAATCTTGTTTTATACTTTTTCAGCGTCGTTTTTTGTCGTAGTTGGGTTTTAATTTTTAACTTTTTATTTATTATTTGTACTATTTTGGTGTTAAAGTGTATTTGTGGCGCATAATATGAACAAAAGTTAAATTGATGAACTAATAAGTAGTAAAGAAGCTATGACCGAAAAGATGTGAATTATATGCAATCAGCCCATGAATACAGGTAAAATCACAAGCAAATGCTAGTAATATATATATATTCAAAATGTACAAGTAAAGCGCTTTCAAATGATACCAAACACGGCATATTTATCTTAACTTTATTTTTTTACTCTGTATGTTTTGTCCGATAGAGGGCGCCACATTAGATTTTGTGAAACCTCATATAGCCTATAACCAGCGGACAATTAAGACGCTTCTAATGATATGTCATTTGTCGAATTCTGATAAGTAGTTTAGAAGTTACGAGGGAACAGATGAACATACATACATACATAGCCTGTCAAAATCATAACCCTCCTTTTGCTTTGCCGTAGTCGGTTAATAAGGTAAAAATGTGATGGAACCTATATTTCCACTGTCTTATAAAAGGTATAATATGGTGGGATCTTTATTCCCACTGTCTTATAAAGGGTATAATATGGTGGGAACTATATTCCCACTACCTTATAACGGGTATAAAATGGTGGGAACTATATTTCCACTGCCTTATAAAGGGTACCAAGTTGTTGCTAGACTTGACCTTCATTAGTTGGGTTGTTATTGGCGGGCAAGCTGTAGATCCTGGCTACAGAGGAGTCACGGCAGTGCGTAAGAGAGGTGGGGATAGTCCCGTACCAAGTTGTTGCCAGAAATCAAATGAACAATTACCCGCTCTCCTCATGCACGTGAGTGTCTCCATGAGCGTGGCCTGCACCTCACTGGCAGACCCACTGCGGGAGATCATCGCGTATTCTCCGGATACCTGTAAACCAACATCAACATTTATTTTACTTACTTTAATGCTATACGTGTTGAAGGGAAACCAATTTACTTTAATGCTAAAAAAAAACTCATAAGTGCCACTTGTGGTCTAACTGAATAAATACTTTTGATTTTGATTTTTTTTTATTTTGAAATGATACATATGGCGAACTTAATTTTAGCCGCGGATCCACTGTAGTGGGCAAGTTGGGAATAGCCACCACCCTAATAGACTTGTGACGTCACAGATACACGGCGTATTATGTTAAACTATCTAAAAATGTGTAATTTTCGTGAGCGAACAAACGTCTTCAGTTTTTATAACGTTATTATTTAAAAAATGGTAGTACCTAGTTGCCGATTTTCGGGTGCCAATGAAGTGTGACCATATTTTTTTAAAGTAATGGATTCACGCCTGCTACATGACAAAACTTCATTCGATGATTTATTAGGACGTGTTTTTGTGTTATTTTTGCAAATAGGCTTTTAAAAAGCACTTTTTCACGTTCCAGTATCTACCACTGCTTCGGTACAATAAATGGGCCAGTGCTGAGAAGAAGCAGCGCAAGAAACTCAGTCACTATTGTCAGTTAATGTTTCCAAATCAAAAATATGTTGCTCGAAAAGGGCATTATGTCTCACCTGGTAAATGAATAGCGGATGGTTTGGGAACTTGTCTTTTGTCTGCCGCACGATGTCCAGGTAGGGCAGCCCCGGCTTCACCATCAGGAAGTCAGCGCCCTCCGCCACGTCCCGCGCCTGACACGAAATAAACTTGTTGTAGATTTATTTATTTATTTCACAGCTGAACATAGAACTGCGGAAAGCGCAGCGTAAGACGTCCACCCACAAGGTGGACCGACGACCTCGTAAAGATAGCAAGAAGGCGCTGGATGCAGGCCGCTACCAACTAGCCTTTTAGGCCTTATTACGTAAATGATTCATTAGCTAACTCATTCAGTGCCTGAGACATGGGAGCGGCACGGGAGGGTGTTTTTGTAAACGTCAAATGTCAGCGAGACTTCAAATGTGGTTCAGATTTGTATGCTCTTACGTAATATTAAAATTAAATGGGTTTTCAAAAATAATGTAGAAATTGATTGGTGTAAAAATAATTTCGTAATCGTCTCAACCAGATGACGTCCACTGATGGGCTAATGGCTGGTAGTGTATTGTCAGCATTTATTTATTAACTCTGGCAATACTTACAGCGGCGCGGGCGGCGAGTGCGGCGCTCCCGGGTGGCAGCTGGTAACACTTGCGGTCGCCTTCCATGGGCGAACTCTTCATGGTGTCGCGGAAGGGCCCATACATGCACGACGCGAACTTGCACGAGTAGGAGAGCACTGAAACCTGAACGGTAATGTGTTACGAACTGTTTGTTGATACAAATAAGTTTTAAAATGTATTCTTTATTAATTCATATGGGCGGAACTTGCGACAATTTAAGGAGACGCGGTACAGTCAGCGTCGAATAGTTCATGAGACCCATAGTGGCCAAAAAATTGAGGACACAACCTTATTCCAATTTGTAACAAATACGTGTTGATGGAACTAATTGATGGAGACTGTACGACGAAGCCATCTTTTGAACTCCTGTTTTTGAACTTTGGGTGCATAGAGTAGATAAATGTGAAATTCTGTTTCTTACCTGATTCTGCAATTTGTTGGCCACCAAAGCATCTTTTATCGCCTTTATTCTATTATCCATCATATCTGAAGGTGCAACAACATGGGCTCCTGAAAGGAAAAAAGAAAAATAGTTATAAAAATAGAAAACATAAGGGATTAAGAATTATATTGGAAGATAGGAATCTCATCTATAACCTATTATCTGTCTAGAACCTAGACTCTAATATGGTCACAGTTTTATTTCAAAGCAGGTCCCAATTGGAAAATATGAAAAAAATCTTTTGCAGTACTTGATTTAGCATATTATTATGCGAGAGCGGCCGTAGGGACACAGGTACGTCACACGCAACTAACAGCTGACGTTACGCTTCCCGCAGCTTTGGAAGCACTTACTCGTTTAAAGTTAAGTTTGAAGAAGTTTGAAGTTTAAAGAGGGTCTAATGGAAAAGAAAGGCTAGGAACATGTTATACCTGCTTTAGCATAAGCCAGTGCCACCTCAGGGATCCTCTTGGTGGAGGCGGCGTGGTCGATGGCCCCGGCGGCGGTCAGCACGCCGCAGTGCCCGTGCGAGGTGTAAGGGCACAGGCACACGTCACACGCTATCAACAGCTGAGGGTACGCTTCCCGTAGCTTTGGAAGCACTTACTCTAAGTTTCAAGAGTGTCTATTGGGAAAGAAAGGCTAGGATCATGTTATACCTGCTTTAGCATAAGCGAGTGCGACCTCAGCGATCCTCTTCGTGGAGGCGGCGTGGTCGATGGCCCCGGCGGCGGTCAGCACGCCGCAGTGCCCGTGCGAGGTGTAAGGGCACAGGCACACGTCACACGCTATCAACAGCTGGGGGTTCGCTTCCCGCAGCTTTGGAAGCACTTACTCTAAGTTCATAAGCACGGGAATATTCCCACCTCTTTTTCCCACCACTGCAACTCCTGTGTAGCCAGGATCTACAGCTTGACCGACAATAAAAACCCTACCAGTGAAGGTCAAGTTAAGTTCATAGCCAGGAGTCTATGGGAAAGAAAGGCTAGGATCATGTTATACCTGCTTTAGCATAAGCGAGTGCGACCTCAGCGATCCTCTTGGTGGAGGCGGCGTGGTCGATGGCCCCGGCGGCGGTCAGCACGCCGCAGTGCCCGTGCGAGGTGTAAGGGCACAGGCACACGTCACACGCTATCAACAGCTGGGGGTACGCTTCCCGTAGCTTTGGCAGAGCCTTTATTACCGGGTTCCCGGACGCATCTGCTGCGGTTCCTGTTGGATCCTAGAGAAGGACAAAAGACTAAAAACGTCTTTTATTTGTAAAGCAGTACTCAAATTTTTAGCTAAAAGGTAAACCTGTTATTAGGAGAATATTATTTAATTAATTTATACTCTCATTTCCAGTATGTAATATAAAATTATGTTCCTAAAAGAAATGGAGAGACAGTAATCTTATCTCACAAATGAAAAATGTTAGTGTGAGTAGCTGAGGCAGTCATAAATTTTGATCCATGGTCATGGTCATAGTAAAGAAGTACAACAAGTCTATTAAAATTACATTTGAGAGTCAAAACTATCATGTCCTTTTACTATATTCATAAAAAACATAACCCTCCTTCTGGCACATTCAGGTAAAAATAAAGTGTTCACCTTTGGTAAAGTCTCTACAATCCCAAAGATGAGGATTGACTTGAGGCCTTTGAGCACCAAATCTTCAAGAGCAATGATGAGCTGGTTGATACCATATCTGAACACATTGGGCATGCTCGACACTGGTTGCACTGCATCATCATCTTCCCTGAAAGTCAATATTCATAATTTAGACCCATGGAAAATGTATGAGAGAAGCATCTGTCTTACCCATGTAGTAAGTAAACCATAATCATCAATAAGTTATTTTTAATTTAATTATTTGCTACTAATTTATGGACCTATTCTAAGCCTGAAATAAAAGAAATTTGAATTTGAAAATCCTTTACTGTTTTATCCCTTTCTTAACTCTTATAAGAATAAAAAAGGTGGTCACAAGTTTTTCATAACACAACAGTTATGTATTGTGAAAGTGAGACTTCCCATACATATCAACATTTTTACATGAATTTTTATAGCAGTCTTCACAAATCATTATTTCACTAAGATAAGCAGGTTAAGGTTATATTGATATCCTGCGATTTCTACTTATTTGCAATTAAAATTATCACTATGGAAGCAACGTCGCATTATTACTGATAATGTTTGGTAAATAAATATGTACTTACAGCAGGAAAACCGGGTACATGATATTGTGGGGTTCAATGCTGGTGTTTGGCTCCTGAAGCTTCCTCAGCGTAGCATGGAAGTATCCTCCTTGGAGAACATGCTCTGGACTCAGAAAAAGACTCATAGTTATTTTGTTTTTTTGAGCAGCAAAGCAAAGCACTGGTTTTAGTGTAAAAACAAGTTTAAAACTAAATCAATAAAGCCTGATAAAATTACTATTAAGTAGTATTTTATTGATTATTTCTTTTATGCTACGTCTATAATTCAACGAATTATTAATTGATTTGTAAACCGCAAATTAATTAAATTAGCAGCTGATTCCACCGACTTTTTGACACTTTTGACACCACAGCTGACACTGACAGCTAACCAAAGAGAAAAACTGACAGTACAGAACATAGACTAAAGAGAGTTACAGACTGAAAACTTTCGAATACCTACTTGAAGCACAAACTAAGTATCACTATCTCGCTCTCTGTGGGCAGACTCGCTCTTTCTAAATAAACAAAAAATATAAAATTGCTCAAATTCAATAAAACCAATGTAAAATCTTTATTTCTTGACATAGGTATCATTAAAAATGATAAGTGTAATTACTGGTAAAACGTTTTAGGAAGAAATTACTGTAAAAAATGTGAAAAATGTTTACAATGATCCAATGTCGGAAATCACGAAATAAACACTTACGCGTGGAATCTTATGTCACTTCCAGGACACCACGTACTACCGCAACCACGCACTACAAAATTTTGCACCAATTCTTGTGATAAAACAATGATTATTTCCTGTAAACAATCTCAAACGAAATTAACTGCTTAATAAACAAAATAGTAAACAACCGTCATGATGGGCCGGATTGGGCCGATGTTGCCACATGGTACCGATTACCCAGGAATTGGGATTGTAATTCCCTGATTCGCCAACACATTAAGCCTAAATAGCCGACAATTTTGTGATTTTTTATTTAACTAGGTAATCTTAGTTTCAAATATTAATTATTTATTTGTTTAACTTCTGATTTGGTTAGTGAATTGGCTATTTCGAAGAATTTACAAGGAGATTTAAATCAGAAGATAGCAATACTACAGTTCACACTAAAAAGAGAGGTAGGGCCGCAGAGAGCGAGATAGATATAAGTAGGTATTTGACTCAAGTTTTTGTTCCAACTCTGCCCTCCATTTTTATCTTTAGCTTCATGCAGGGTTGCCAGATATCAGCTAACTCAATTCGCCTAATTTTTCCTACCGAGTAGCCTAAATCGCCTAATATTTTTTGTTTCTTAAAATAGCCTAATTCGCCTAATTTTTTGAGCTAAGTATACAAAAATTGCTTATACAAATACATATCAAATCGACACATCAATGACAAACAGCTGTTTATCTCTTTCTAACTCACCCATGGTGACGTATGAAAAAAGAGATAGATAATGTTTGGTCAGTACCTACTCATTCTGGCAACATTTTCATATGACGTCACTACCTGACTTGTGCCGAGTACATACAAGATTAAGAAAACAGCATGGCAATCAGCTGACACACACAGGCGCACGCGCACACACACACACACACACACAGACACCTGTCAGCTGATTGCCTATATTGTGTTGTGGCCATGTTGTTTTCTTAAATCGTGTGTGCGCGTAATGTATGTACTGAGCACGTTTATTTTAAAGTTACGCCAAGTCCATGAGATGAGATACCTATCCTACTAATATTATAAACCCGAAAGTGTGTATGGATGTTAACATGTTTGTTACTCTTTCATGCATAAACTACTGAACGGATTTTGATGAAACTTTACAATATCATTTTTATAACCCAGAATAACATAATATTATAGGCTATAATTTATGACGATCTGTGACAAACTAAATTTCACGAGGGTGAAGCTGCGGGCAAAAGCTAGTATCGTATATCTATACTTGTACGCAATAGCTCTATCTCACTCTTACAAAGAGTGACCGAATGGAAAGAACGGTGGATGTCTCAGATTAAGTGTTAGGTGGATGTGCATATTACGTTTCGTTACTTTTGCTATATGAAAAATTTCTTTTTCCAAGGTAATCCTGAAATAGCCTAAATAGCCCGATCTTTTTTTCTAGGTAGCCTAAATGGCTACCGGTAGCCGTTTGCATTTTTTGGTCGCCATTTGACCCCCGAAGGTAGCCTAAATGGCGATAATTCGCCTAATCTGGCACCACTGGCCAGCAGTCATATGGCAAAAATGTGTCAAATGTTTTTTTAAAACTTACGATGATTACAAGGAATGCATACTTATAATACCTAACGAGAAAAAATGTAATATAAGTGTTATAAAAAAATAGACAAAAGTGGAGACACTTTTGTAATTAATTAAGTTTGTACCTAATACCTAATGAATTTAGAATAAATTATTTCGTATTTATAATAAGGTGCAACCGCTTTTAATCCTTATCCCACAAAGCAATTAGTAATACTACCTTCTCCCCCACAGAGCACATTCTCCACATTAAACACAAACTTCAAGCATTATTAATGTGAAATTAACTTCAATTGCCTAACTTAGCTTAAAAGTACATTTTTGATAAGCTTTTGACCCTAGGCTTAAGCCCAGCCAAAAAAAAAAAGAAAAAGTTGACAGACAGAGCGCGGGAATTCATTTACAGACATGAAGCTAAAGATAAAAATGGAGGCCAGACTTAGAATACCTACTTGAAGCACAACCNTGCTGGAGGAGAAGCAGTAGTCGCTTTCCCCTTTTTCTTTTTGCCCTTTCGTTTGACCTGGGTCCACCCCTCCTTGGCAGCAGTGGTGGAGGGCAGCATCAGATCTTCCGAGGGCTCTGATACGACCTGACGAGATGGGCCAGGCTTGGGCTCTTCGACTGGGGCTGCGACAGTAGCCTTGGGTCCAGACTTTGGTTTTCCCCTGGATGGGGCACGCTTTTGCGCGGAGACTTGAGTCGGGGCTGGTTTGGGCTCCGGGGCAGGAAGGGAGTTAGTCCCGGATTTCTTGCCCTTGCCTTTATCTTTGATAGATTTTGACGAGAGTTCAGACGCCGCTATCTCAGCAAACGTCCTTTTACAGTCCGCAGCAAGCGGCGGACGTACTCTTTTCTCAGGCAAGAGACGATCTTCTATACCCGCGATGCAGGCTCTGGTGAAGGCTCTCTCCTCCATCACTATTTTTCGGACAATTGTCTCGAAATCAGTGGGTTGAGAGGGCAGAGAGACCGGAGGAGAAGAAATCTCCATATCAGCTACCGCTGCCGACGTAGAAACGTCTGTTAACTTGGCATTGGCTTTAGACAGCTCCTCCTTCAGAGAGATGACTTCGGCCTGCAGGCGGGTGACAGTTGCCTGAAGCCGCTTAGTCTCTTCTGAGACTGACCGTTTGGTCAGCTCCTTCGCTATTCCCCTTAGGGAATTTGCTCTATTTTTGATAGCCTTCTGTGATGTCCCATTCATTTTTGAGCACTTTCTTACAGTCTCCATGATCTCCGACGCATCTTCAGAGGCCATCGTATCCAGCACTTCAGTACTTAGGTCCTCGTAATCCCTGAGAAGGGAGGTCCCGTAGCCATACTTGGCTCGGGCCAGGCTGGTTTGGCGTTCTCGAGCCGCGGCTGCCTCCTCATGCTCTAATTCGAGCGCCTCCCTCTTTAAGGCGTTAAATTCTTTTTGGGCCTGTGCCAGCCCCACATAGTGGCCAGTAGTAAGTTTGCGCCCACCCTTGCCTGCTCCGGCCTTTTGAGATGAGGTCCTTACAGACTTTATCGAAGGAGTCTCTGAACTAGACCCCGCCTTATTATCCATTTTGCGTTTCCGCAAGTATTTCGCACGCTGTCGCTCTTGCCCTGTGCCACCGGCTTCGGTCAGAGTCGACGAATCCGAGTCGAATCCGTCACCTGCAACAAAGAACCGGCTGCCAGAGAGAGGCAGCGGTGACTGTTCTCCTACGGGATAGCATTCTCCCAAGACGCTGGAAGCACCGAAACTATCAGCGTCATCCGACACCACCTCCGGATCTACGTCCAAAGGCTTCTTAAAAGGATCCAATGATCCCACCGACATCTCGCTATCCTGAGAAGGACCACGAGAGTCACCACCGAGTTGCTTTGTCATCTCGCTATCCTGAGAAGGACCACGAGAGTGAGAGCGAGTACTGCGTCGCATCGTCAATTGATTGACAGATTTCACCGAAAAGTAGTAGCTGGCCGGGCCTGATGCTGCGTTACCGCATGCAGTGCGTTACCGCATGCAGACGAAACTGAGACCTTCATTTCTGTTTATGTGAGTCTGTTAGCTCACATACAGAAGTAGGTAAATCGTCTGTATTTGATGTTGAAAGTTACCTGTAAGAAATGGACACCCTGTATTAATATTTCACGATAGTAAGTAGATAGGTATGCTTTACGTAGCGTAATTATATTTTTTAAACACATGCACAAAACGTGTACAACAATCTCTTCGAAACAAAAAGTTAGCAACAGCATTGTTTTCAAAATGCCAATCCGCCATCAAGCGCCATTACCACAGACGCAAAATGCGCGCGAAATGCTTGGAATATCCGAACGCCGAAATTGCGAGGCTGTATGCGTGGAATGCCTTAAACAGCGAGCGAAAAAGAAGAGTATTTGGAGCGAAAAAGTCGTGATAGTTATTCGAAAAAGGAACGCGGGGCAATTACTGGCACGCGAGCGCGGTCGCGCGCCGCTAAGGACGGTTGCACATTGGAGCAAATCGCGAAGCTCTTTTTATCCGACTACGCCGGGAGAAATGTTATGTTTTTCGAGTGTTATTAATGTGTGTATATTTCTTTGACACGCTTTGCCTATCTAAATTAAACTAGCTACGTCGCTACATGAAGCGATCACAAAATCAAAATCATGAAGTTTCATTTCCAACATCCATAGGCATTGGTGCTGCTTACGAGGGACCTCTACGCCTCCTGGCTACCACCCTGATACTACGCAGGAGACATACGACTACGAGCCTTCACTGCCTTCACTAGTGTTGTTCCGAGCCTATACGAGCCTTCACTAGTGTCGCTAGTGCGCAGTATGGCCGCGCCCTACTCGCCCAGCTCGTGACCGCCGCGAGCTGACGGGCAACCCCGGCCCCGGCTGCCGCCCTGGCACTACGCAGATATACTAGCCTTCACTGCCTTCAATAGTGTTGCTCCGAGCCTATGCGAGCCTTCATTAGTGTGGCTCCGAGCCTATGCGAGCCTTCACTAGTGTGGCTCCGAGCCTTCACTAGTGTTGTCG